TGGGCTATCCTTCACTGGCTAACCATCTCCTTCTCGGGTCGGGACGTGGCTGACGCGGATGCTTCTCGTGACTTATACGAGGAACGTCGCAGAGATGTCAAGCGGCTTCGGGCACAATACGAGGCCTCCTTAAGCGGTTGTTTGCGATCCCTGGATTCCCAAAGACATTGCTTTACGAGCCTGGTCTGTGGACGCTTCCCGTGTGTGCGTACCACTGGATTCTCATGTATGCGTGCCACTGGATTATCAAGGATCCTGAGCGTTCGCCCCTTATTCGTCGTGGAGTCGCTGACTACGCTGCTCAACTTGACGATTTGGACGGGGAAGATCCCGTCCGCACTCAATGGGCAGCGGTGCACAGTGACAGTGACATTCTGGCCACGGTCCCGGCATTCATGCACCCATTTCTCATGCAGCCTGAGAGCCGGGCTCGGAACGTGATTCCATTATCTGCGGCGTCTCAAGCGTGAACTCCTATCGTCAGCTGTTGCTCTCCACGTACTCTGGATGTCGGAGTTACTCTCCTTTCTCTCAGTCTCAGACAGTGATTCGTTAATACTAATCGTTCTCCGTTTTTCGTTCTCGTATCTTGACTTTTTACCGCTTTAACGATAATCGTTTGTCTCGACACTCACTAACACATTGACAGCTCTCTGAGATCCTCGCTGGATCCAGGGAACGACCACTCACAATTATCACAATCAATACCATGTCGTTCACACATACAAGTTCCTTTGGGCTAGGCGTCGTCTTCGGGCCTAGTTCCCAGGGTGATCGTCCCCAGCTTGCATAGCTTGGAAACGTGCTCTCGCCTTAGCACCCTGGTCGAACTCATATAGCAATGCCCCACAATTAAGTTGGGCTAGAGGTATCCACTCTGGATCTGGGTAATTGTGGAAGTTTCCACTTGATCAGATATTCCCGAGAACCATTGGAGGTCCTTGTACGTTTGATCCACCTGAGATCCAGGATCTCTTCAACCTCATACTCATCCTGTGCAGTGTCCGGCTCCCAACTAACTTCGGGTAACAAGGCTGCGTCAAAGTCGTCATCTTCTGATACCTGTATCTCTGAGGTATGTCACTTAGGGAACAAGCTCTTGTTTTGAGGCGACTAATGTGAACCCACGGGTTTACACGGTAGCCTGTGCCTGGGATCTTGAGCTTGACTCTGAAGTCGTTAAAATTTCGTCGATTCGGAAAGGCCCGTGCCACAGGTGAGCTAACTTACGACTCAACCCCGTGCAGACCATGGGAATGTACAACCACACAGAATCGCCGGCTTCGAAGCCTGCCTTCACGCGGTCCGAGAGTTCTCTCCACTTACGAGTCTGAGCGGCAGATCTCACACGCTTTGCCTTCTTTTGCAAGTCTTCAGCACACGCTAGAGCATAACTATAGTCCCGTTGCATCTTCCGGCGCCACTCCAAGGCCGTTCGTTCTTGGACTGTGGATGGCTTCGGGCCCAGCATTGCAGATATGGTTCCTTGGGCGTCCCAGCCGTGGACCAGGTAAAACGGAGTGTCCAATCTTGCAACATACATCGAACGAGGTATTCAGCTCGAACATGAGACGTTCTGCATGCTCGTTCCAGTCACTCTGGTCAACTTCAGCCAGCGACATACGCTCTGACACTCCGCATTACCGTTTGGACTGAGCGTTTTTGCTGTCCATTGGCCTGAGGCCGGTATCCTAGCGTCGCACGTTGCTTACTTTTCAGGAGGTCTCTGAACCTAGCGAAGACCTTGCTCATGAAACGGGGGTCCTGATCATGGCTGATCATTCAACTCGCCCCAAATCTTCTGAATACGCATTCTTCGTATGCCTCAGCAACATCTTGGGCTTCGCATGGGCTTGAACATGACATATCCTGAGGATTGATCTTGGAACAGCAACAAGTATGTGTTCCCACGGTCGGACTCAGGTAGCTCAGTGACGAAATCCATACAGACCACAGCGAACGGATATCTCGGTTCGATATTGCCTGGCGACGGACCGATAACCGGTGGTCGCCCCTTGGCTGACGCATAATCCACGCATTCTCTCACCAACTTCTGCACATCAGCGTACATCCCGATCCAGTAGAACTCTCAACGTAATCGCTCAAATGTCCTGCTGATTCCTTGGTATCCGCCCTGGAAGTCTTCGTGTGAGTAGTGTAGCATATCGGCGCGTAAAGGCTCTGGGACCACCAGCCTGAGTTCCGACTGTTTGTTGCGAGGTCTTTCGGGGGTGGGTGTGCTCAGTCTGTAGAGGACTTCTCGCGAATCCAACACAAACTGATCGGAGACTTTCGCAATCTTCTTTACCTGGTTCCGTGGAAGATCTGACACATCTCCTTTTAGGACCTTCTTCACTTAGCTGAATCCACGAGTCTTCGTTTTGGTGAACCTTGATTCTCCTCCAACGTTCATCCTGGTATCCAGACTGGTCTACAGGATTCCGAGGGTTTCCATCCGCTTCCGCCCGTGACCTCGTCATTACCATCAATGCCTCAGCCGCGGTAGCTAAAGACTCAGGTATCCCGGTATCAGGGCTATCCACCTCGAGTTTGACTTGATTCGAGGCAACCGTATCGGTCACAGGGGTACCTGGGATTTCCGAAGGCTTCATGATCCTTTCAGGAATTCTGGATACAAGGCGTAGATGCACTATCTCATCGGGGTCATCGAGCTCCCAGGATTCTCCAAGCACAAGAGTCTTAGAGGTAAGGTAGTCTTGATTAAACTCACGTTTGACATGAATCCATTTAACCGACACAAAATTCTTCTTGAGATCCTCATACTCAGCTGAGCGTCGTTGCAGGTTGGGCTGGTTACAATTGATCAGACCCTGAGCCTGCTGAACGACGATTCGAGAATCACCGACTGCCACAAGCTCCTTGACATCGTATTTCATAGCGAGCTTTAGTCCCAAAGTCAAACCGTGGGATTCAGCATCGTTCACTGTCACACCTTCAAGGATGTGTCCTTCAGCTTTCACAACCTGCCACCCTGGCAGCTTCCACAGTATGCATCCACAACTTCCTCGGCGAGTAGACACCTTCGCAGCGCCATCGAAACTCAGAACGTAGCCTTGGTAGTCTGCTTCCAACATTTCCAAACTCACTGGTGGCATCACCTTTAGGAATCAGGGTTTCTGCAACTTCATCTAAATGTTCCCTGGGAGTAATACCAGACTCAAGGATGGCCGCAAGGCCATCCTCATCTTTCTGAGTCCGATGGATTT